GTTAAAATCTGGCCTAGCTGTGTGACCCTGGGCAAGTCACTTAATCCAGATGGCCTCCAAAAAAAAAAAAAAATCCAGTGGTTCCCTTCTGCCTCTCGGATGAAATATAATCACGTTGGTTTGATTTTTAAAGTCATTCACAATCTGGTCCCAAACTGTCTCTCCACCTTGATTGTAAAGTCCCAGTCCACAATGTGAAATGATTGAAAGTATATGAACAATTTGCAAGAGGAAACAAATGGAATCCCTTGAAAAAATACTCAGCCTCATAAATAATCTGAGACCTGAGTTCGTATCCTATTTGTGACCTGTATGACCTTGGGCAAGTAACTTAACCTCTCTCAATCTTCAGTTTCCTCCAGGGTAAAATGGAGGGGTTTTGTTAGATGGTCACTAAGATCCCTTCTAGCTTTAAATGTATGAAATGCGGATTAAAACAACTCTGAGGTATTATCTCACACCTACCAAATCAGCAAAAATAATTAAAACCAAGCCAGTGGTGTTAAGGAGAAACAGGGACATTCATGCATTACCGGTAGAATTGTAAACTTGTAAAATCCTTCTGAAGACAGGATGAAGCAGAAGTTAGAAAACTGATCATACTTTTTGGCCCAGGAATTCCATCACGGGGAATACCCTATGAAAGAGTTTTCAGAAGCAAAGAAAGCTCCCAAAAGAGCTACCTGTTCAAAGATTTTCATGGAAGCATAATTTGTCATTGTAAAACACTGGAAGCCAATTAAATGTCCACCAATGGGGGAACGATCCGGTTAATCATTGTACATGAAGGGAATGAAATACCATGAGGAATTAAAATGGACAGGTTTGAGGAGCACAGAGAAATGTAAAAAGGCTTTTGTGAAGAAAAAAACAAAAGCAAAGTGAAAAAGCAGATGAAAAACAAAGTCCACGTGAACTCTGGCCAAAAGGAATGGACAAAGAACCCTCATGGGTGGAGACAGAAAGAGATGGAAGGAAAAGTTGGGATGGATGAGGTTTTTGAGCAGAATTTAATTAACTTAAATGCAAATAGTTACTAAGTAAATTTAATTAAGTGTGTTGGTGTTCAGTATTTTTTTTCTCGAACAATTTATATTTTTTCAAAAATAGCATTCTACTACAGAACTCTCAGGTCTGGGGCCAGATCTAAGACAAGAGATTTAACCTTTCTGTGCCCACTTTACTCATTTATAATAGCACAGTGCCTGGCATGTACTGGCAAGTACTTAATAGATGCTTGTCTGCCTTTCTATCACATGAGGGGGTTCAATTAATTTCCATAAACATATTTTAGGCACCTACTACTTGCAGAGTACTGGGATGTGTGTTGTGGGGGGGGGGGGAGATACACTATTTAAATAAGACATGAATCCTACAGTCCTGTCAGGGAAGATCATGCAATCACATATAAGCATAATATTGTACATCATTAAGTGTCTCAGAGAGTTAGAGCAACAAGTGTTCATTAAGTATTCCTTACTGGGGAGGCAAATAGAACAGCAAAACAGCCCAAACCCTCAGGAAGCTTACAGTCCAATGACCAGGAATAGACACACAGGTGTCTATCCCAAGGTGACCTTAGATGGGGAGGTGCTGGGAATGGGGAGGGGCCATCATTCTTCCCATTTTTCAGAAGAAGGGATGTGATCTGCAGGAGGTTATAAGGTAGGCAGCCATGCCCCAATCTCTGGTTGGGTGATTAGCTCTTCCCTCTGATTCTCCACAAGCCTCCTGATGCTTTCCCTTTGGTTACTCAGTTGAGGAGATTCTGTGACTCAGCACTGGTCTGATGGCCTTATAGCTGACTGAAAGTCATAAGGCCCAGGTTCCAGGCCCAGCTCCATGGCTAGCTGCCTGTGTGACTTCCCTTTATCAGACCTCAAGCATGTGTGTAGAAAGAATGCTGGATTTGGATTCCAGAGAGCCTGGGATCAAATCCAGCTTTGACATTCACTACTTTCTCTGGGCCTCAGTTTCCTCAACTCTAAGGTCCCCTTGGGTTCTTGGTTTTCATACAAGGTTTCTCATACCGCCCAGCTAGGGAGCAGCTGGGTGGGGAAGTGGATAGAGTCAGGAAGACCTGAGTTCAAATATGGCCTCAGACACATACTAGCTGTGTAACCCTGGGCAAGTCACTTCACCTTGTTTGTCTCAGTTTCCTCATCTGTAAAATGAGCCGGAGAAGGAAATAGCAAAACACTCCAGTATCTCTGCCAAGAAAACCCCAAATGGGGTCATGAAGAGTTGGACGTGATTGAACAACAACATTATTAGTAGTAGTAGTCATCCCCAAATGATCTATGAACTCAGTTCCTCAACTGAGTGGAAATTGGACCTATTTGGAATTAGAAAACTTGGGTTTGGAATGTATTTCTCTTATTTTACTGCCTGTGTGACCTTGAGAAAATCACTTGACCTTGTTGGGCTTCCTTCCCCTCTCTCCAAAAGGAGCGGGGGTTCCATTGATGAGGACCATCAGATGAGAGAGCTACAGCTAAAAGGATCCTTAGAGACCACCTAACCAAGTTTTCTGGGGATCCCTAAGACCCTTTCAGGGGGTCCAGAAGGTCAAAACTTTTTTTCATAATAACAGTAAGACATTTTAATTTCTAATATAATAAATATTGATAGATGACCCACATAACCAAAAGCTCTTGGGGGAGGGGTCATTAGCAATTTTAAGAGTGTAAAGGAATCCTGAGACCAAAATATCTGAGAATTCCAAACCAATCCTCTCTTTTTACAGAGGAGGAAACTGAGGCCCATTGTCACACAGGTATCATAGGCAGGATTTGAACCCAGGTCCTGAGACTCCAGAATTAGTGTCCTTACTACTGAACCAAGATCTTTAAGGCTTTTTTTCTTTAATGCCCAAAGACTCTGACGAGAGGAGAGCCCAAATTCTACATTATTTAGCAGCCAATTATAAACAGACATCTTTATATTGTCTTCCTGTCCTGACCTGTCTTTAATCTGCAGCATCCTGGGTTCCTCAGGCCTTCCTCTCCTCCTAGTCCCCAGTTCCTCCTTCCTGGACTTGGGGACACCACCACCCCCTAGACTTCCTGCCTCTCCCATTCTGCCTATGCTTTATTTGCCCTCCAGAGCTACTGGAGGGAAAGGAGGGGAGCCTGGGTAACCGGAGAGAGGAAAGTGATGGGGTGGGAGGGGGAGCTGAGTGTCAGTAGTGAAGGTGAATATTCCTGTTGGGGCTGAATCCAACACAGTTGCTAAGTGTCCTATAATTATCTTATTTGTGTGAGTGAAGACTCGAGGCTCTGTACTTGGCTATTTTCATCACGTTTGCTGAAATACAATCACAAAGCAAAATTGAGAGAGAGAAAGAGACAGAGACAGAAGACACAGAGACACAGACAGAGAGCGCCTTGGGGGATTTTGCCCCCTCAGTGGTAAGTAGGATAGCACCTCCAGCCCAGACACATGCCATGAGCCCCCAACTGCCTATGACTAGCACCCAAAACACCACTGCTGTTCATGTTTCTAGGCCCGTGAATCAGGCTCTTTTTCAGAAAGCCCCTGGAGTTAAGGGGACAGCTCTGAGGCAACCAAAAAACCCACAGTAAGAGAAGAAAACCTGAGGAGGAAGGAGTATCACTGAAAGAACATTGAACCTGGAGTCAAAAGATCTGGGTTCAAACTCTGGTTCTGGCATTTAACTCATAGTCTGTCCCTGGACAAGACACTTCAATGGCCTCATTCCTCAGTTTTCCCATCTGTAAAGTAAGCAGGAGGACTAGATGATCTCTAAGGCCAAAAAAATCAAAGATTTAGATGGAAAGAACCTTAGAGGTCATCTGACCAATCAATCAACAAGCATTTATTAAGCACCTACTATATGCCAAGCACTGTGGTAGCTACTGAGAAAATACCAGTCCATGCTCTCAACCATTTTACAATGAATCTCAATCATTTTACAGATGAAAAAACTTAGACCCAGAGGGTAAATTGACTTGCCCAAGATGACATAGGTAGTAAGCACCATAGCTGGGACTCAAACTCAGGTCCTCTGTCTCTGTTTTCTTGCTGTACCATACTGCCCCGCCCCAGCTCTAAGGCTTATGGTGTTACTTTAAAGTCTTCCACTTGGTTTCAACAAATTGATTTCAAAAAGACAACATGGCAAGGCATAGCTGGGCAGTGGTTCATTTGAAAAAGATCTGAGGGTTTCGGTAGATCACAAGCTTGATAGAAGAATACTTCATGACATCATAGTATCCAAGAAAACTAATGCTGAAGTAAATTGTCCAGACTGCTGGAGTTTGGAGAGTGGAGTCAGTCACTCAATGAGCATTTACCATCCTCTGCTCTGGCCAGACTATTTTTGGAAGACTGCTCACTTCTGGGCACCCTGTTTTAGGAAGGACATCGTGAAGCGGCAGAGCGTCCCAAGGAAGGTAGTTGGGATGCGACAGGGCTAATGTTCATGCCAAAGGAAGACCAGTGAATGGATTCAGACGTTTACCCTGGAGAGGACATGCTGACTTTCAGAATTTACTGGGAGAGGAAAATACTCAGGCGAGACATGGCAGGTGTCTGTACATATCTGAAGGTCTATCAAATGACGAAGGGTTTAGACTTGTTCTGCTTGGGTCCAGTGGGTGGATGTTTCAAAGAAGCAAATTCGGGGCTAACATAAGGAAACTGTAAGGGATGACTTCCCCAAAATGAGAGGAGTTATCCAAAAGTGGAACAGGCTACCTCAAGAGGCAATAGGGTCCCCATCAGTGGAGGTCCTCGAGTAAAGGACAGATGCTCACTTGTTGGGTGTGATGAAGCCCTGGGGATCCTTTTGGCCAGGAACGAGTTGGACTCAAGACCCTCTGAGGTCCCTCCCAATTCTGAGAGTCTGTGATCCTGTAAAATCCTGGGTTCAAGGCCAAGTCCTAGCTTAATTAATTTCTTTAGGCCTCAGTTTGCAAAAATGGGGACATCTAGCTAAATCTATCTAAGCATAGGGAAGGGAGGGGTACAAAGGTATGATGATATGGTGGTACAATAATGAGGATAACGGAGATGGTGAGGATGACATCTAGCTAACACTGGGTAGGGCTTTCTGGGAGCCAAAGCACTACAGAAAATACCTCCCCTAGTGAAAATGGAAAGTCTGAAAGGGATAGAAGATAGATCACTGGATAGGGAGTCATGAAAACCTGAGTTCCAACCCCCCCCCCCCTTTACTAGCTTGCTTTGTTTCTCCCTTTAGATGGGAAGCTCCTTGAGGCCAGGGACTGTCTTTTGCTTCTTTTTGTATTCTCAATGCTTAGCATAGCGACCGGCACATAGTAGGCACTTAATCACCGGTTATTGACCGATTGGCTGCCTGCCTCACCTGGCTTTGGTTTGTATTTGTAAAACTCGGAGGCTTCTAGCAATAAGAAATCCTTGTTGGCTTAAAGTTTCATTTGATAACAATAGCCCATTCCTCTAGCCTGAGATTCATAAAGCACTCCCCTCCCAACAGTCAAGTGCGACAGAGCAGGCTAGGATAATTACTCCCATTTTACAGAAGAGGAAACTGAGGCCCCCCAAAAGAGGAAGTGATTTGTCCAAGGTCACACAGCCAGGAATAGTCAGGGAGGGGATTCCAATCAATCTCTTCCCCACTCCAAATCCACCAGATCATCAATATTTTCAATGTAGTCCCAGTAGAATTGACATCGGGGATAGCTCCGGGCCCTTCCCCGAGGGGAGGGAGGGCTCTAGCTTGCGGGGGGGGGGGGGCGCCCTGGTTCTCCAGGACTGACCCAGGCCCTTGCTTCTTCCAGCCCCAACCCCATCCACCCCAACCCCCACCCCCACCCCTACGCGCCGGGCCTCAGATCCCCGGGCTCAAGTGCTGCCAGCAACCGAGGAAGGCCGCCCCTGAGCGGCCCAGACCAAGGCCAGCGCCGGCCTCCGCGGCTGCCCCCAGCGTTCCAGCAGCAATCGGGGCAGCGGAAGAAAGGCAGGGCGACCGGGGGGAAAGCGAGGGTATTTCTGGATCTCTTTCCCACCCTGGGCCTGGGGCCCCAAGCCATCCCCTCCCCCAGCCGCCTAGAGAGAGTTTGCAAATCACAGCTTGGACACAGAGCTGCCCCCCCCCCGACTCCCTTCACCCTATAGCTCCCCAAGTTTCAGAGGGAGAAGAGAAATCCCCCCAAAGCCTTCCCAGCCTCCCCCCTCCCTCGGGCCGGGACCCCCCCACCTCCCACCCCAGCCAGGCTCAGCAATAACTTTGAAACTTCTCGGCCATTTGGGGCAAGAGGCGTGGGGATGGGGGGCAGCCTTTCCCCCCACCCTGAACCCCGCAAACAGCCGCCCCGCCCCATTGCCCCCCACCCCCCCCACCCCAATCCGGGCTTCCTGGGCCGAAGGTGGCTCACACCCCTCCCCGCCCTGCCCCTTGGGGCCGCACCCCTCCTCCTGCTTCGATTTCCCCCCCCCCCCCCCCCCCCCCCCGGCCAGGCCGCCGCAGCCGCCTCCAAACTGGGGCCCCCCACCTCACCGGCCCCCACCCGGGTGAATTTCAGTGTTTGATTAAGAGGGGGGAAAAAGCCTACACGACTCACCTTTCCTTGTTTGGCAGTCCCCCCACCGTGCCTACAACGGGCCTTGATAAGTGGTATAGTATTACTAGAGATATTATATTATTATTATTATTAGTAATAATAAGAGTAAATGCTATTTAATTATCGAAGGAGGCATTTTGCTCCTGGAACTGCTACCCAGGCAGCTCCCGACATGTGGCCGCTCAGCCCTTTACTTTCATTTCCACAGCTCTCTCTCTCTCTCTCTCTCTCTCTCTCTCTCTCTCTCTCTCTCTCTCTCTCGCTCTCGCTCTCTCTCTCTCTGACTCTCTTATTCTTTCTGTGTCTCGATCATAGCAGCCCCAACTGGAGAAAATGCTTCCCTGCAATTCCTCCCTGAGCCCTGGAGGGTCCCGGTCAGCCTTCTTCCCGGCCCCTGGGGATGTGCGAAGAACAGATCGGAGTGCCAGGGTCTCTCGTGGCTCTCGGTGGGGTCGTAGGCAAAGACGTTGGGGAGATTTCCCCTTCTGATTCCGCGAAAGTATGGGCCATTTTTTAAAAATTTTACATTTTTCTTTTTAAACGTAAGGAGGTTTTTCCTTTTTAAATGGGATTTCCTTTTTAACATCTCTGGATTTCGGACCTGAAGTTTCCCAAAATATTTCCATTCTTTCTAAATAGTTACGGGGGTTCTTAACCTTTTCTGTGGCCGGCCCTCCCCTGCCCCGGGCCCACTGAAACCTTCTCCGAATGAGGTTTTTAAATGCATCCAATAAAATACTTAAGATTAGAAAGGAAACCAATTATCTCCTAATAAAGATGTAAATTCCCCCCCCCCCAGCCCAGTTCCCCCCAGATTAGGGACCCCTGCTCTAAGCATCCTAGGGGGCAGAGCTCGCATGGACCATTTACAGCAGCCCCCCATTTTTCACAGATAAAGAAACAAGCCTAGAGAGGGGAAGGCGCTGTAACATGAGCTGGTCGTGTGTATCTAGTTCCATTCAACAAACACTTATTTAGTATCAATTAAAGAAAACAGTCTAGTGTTACTCTTGGGGGGTTTGGGGAAAGGTGTGTGGGGGTGGGGGATTTCCCTTTCTGTTTCAGGGCAAGTATGTGTCTTTTCTTTTCTTTTTCTTTTTTTCTTTTTGACTTGTGAATCAATCCAGCCAGAAAATTCCGGAAAGTAATTTGGAACTATGCTTAAAAAGTCACTAAATTGTTCATATCTTCTGACCAGTCAGTATCACTTTAAAAAAAAAAAATCACTTAAAAAAACCCTGCCACATCACCTTCAATAATTGTCATTTTCCTTTTTTGTCATCTTTGCCAATCTGATGTATGTGAGATAGAGACTAAGGCTTATACCCGAAAGAGATAGAAGAAATCAGCTCATGCACAAAATATTTATAACAGCCCTTTTTTTGTTAAAGCAAAGAAATGGAAACTAGAGAATGCCTATCCCTTGGGGAATGGCTAAACCAAATGTGGTGTGTATACATACACATATATGGTTTTTACATAGCCATATAATAATATGGAATATTATTTCAATATAAGCAAAGACAATAGAGACGGTTTCAGTGTAATTGAACTAAGTGAAGTGAGCAGAAATCAGAACAATTTCTACAATAACAACGTTGTAAAGACAAACTTTGAAAGACTGAAGAACTCTGAGCAAAGCAATGACCTATCACAATTCCAGAGGCCCAAGGATAAAGTGTGGGCTAGCCACCCCCAGGCAAGAGGGTATGGCTTCAGGATGCAGACTAGACCTACGTTAAATTTTGGACACAGTCAATGGCGAAATTTGTTTTGCTTCATTACGCGTGTTTGGTACTCGGATTTTTTTTTTCTTTTTCTTTTCTAATGGGAGGAATGGGGAGGGAGAGAAAATAGATTTTTGTTCATTCAACTAATTAAATGTAAAAAAATACATATCAGAGAACAGAAAGAATCAGAAAGATAGCTTTGAAAGTTAAGTGTTAAATTTATCATCGTTCACATGTTAAAAGAAAAGCAAGACTTGAGTAACAGAGATGTATAATGATCTTTTTCTATTCTACTGTGTATGAGAACATGCCCCCCTCCTTTCTGGGGAAAAGGGTGTTAAGTTCAGAATAAAAAGAAATATTTTTGAAGAACCAATTACATGCAAGGCACCGAGGGTCCACAGAAATGACCTAGCCTTTGGGGTGAGCTTATATTCTTCTGAGAAGACACAGCGATTAACAAGCATTATTAAGCACCTACTGAGTGCCAGGCACTCAGAATACAAAGAAGAGCAAAGCAATCCCTGATCTCAAGAAGTGAGACAGTGTATGCACACATCCAAACATATATTATAAACACATGCCATGGCTTTAGGGAGCTCTTGGGGAGGAACTTCCTTACCAAAAAAACATCAGCACCTTTTCTGAAAGGTGTGCTTAGAGAGAGTCTCTTGGGACACTGAAATGAAGTGGCTGGCCCAGGGTCACTCCACCAGAGAAGGCTTAACCCCATATCTTCCGAGACTCTAGTAGGGGTCATTATCCACTCTGCCGGAGGCTCTTCAGGTGTGTAAATTTATACAGAGTATATACAAAGTGTACACAAAGGTGGGAGGTAGAGAAAGTCTATTCAAACTAATATCTAGTGATTTCAAAGAAGATTAATCCCCAAGTCTTGTTTAAGTGAGGATAACATGCCAGCGACAAGAGCCCGTTACGTGGGTGAAAAAAAATAGGTAAATGATGTGACTTGCCCAAGGTCACACAGGTTATAAATAGCAGAGCCAGGATTTGAACTGTTCTCTTCTAACTCCGTTTCTATTGTTCTTCCTTTATTAAAAAAAAAAATCATTCTGAACTTTGTTGTTCAGTCATGTCTGACTGTGGCCCATGGACCATAGCCGTCCATGGGGCTTTCTTGGCAGAGATACTGGAGTGGTTTGCCATTTCCTTCTCCAGTTCATTTTACAGATGAGTAAACTGAGGCAAAGAGAGGTTAAGTGACTTGCCCTGGGTCACACAGGTAGTAAGTGTCTGAGGCTGGATTTGAACTCAGGTCTTCCTGACTCCGGGCCAAGTACTCTATCTCCTGTGCCAGAGTTGCCTTTGGAACTACACATATCCATATAGGAGTCCTTTTCTCCTTTGATCTCTTTGTGTCATAGGTCTGCTAGTGGTATTGCTGGCTTGAAGTCACAGTTTAGTGACTTTGGGGGGCATAATTCCTAATTATTTACTAAAAGAGCCCGACCAATAATTCATAGCTACACCGACATTGGCCCATTTTCTCATAGCCACTCAAATAATTCTCATTCCCTTCCCCCCCCCCCATCTTTGCCAGTCTGATGGTTATGAGATGTAACCTCAGAGCTGCTTTAATTTTCATTTCTTTAATTGTTAGTGATTTGGGCCATTAAAAAAAATATGGTTATTGATAGCTTAGATTTCTTCTTGTGAAGATTGCCTGTTTATATCCTTCTGATGCTTTTTGCACCACACAATACTATCTCTCATGTCCTTTCTTGGGACTTTAGCTAAAGGACTTTACCCCAACAATTCCTTGAGAAGGTCCCCTTAACCCTTGCTCTATCTACTCACAGGATCGTAAAATAATACTAATAACAAGAGCTAGAATTTAGATAGCACTTTAGGGTTTGCAAAGCACTTTACACAGGTTATCACATTTGATTCAACAACCCCATGACTTGGATGCTGTTATTATATTCATTTTATACATGAGGAAACTGAGGCTCACACAGGTTAAGGAACTTGCCCAGGGTGACACAGCTAGTCAGTATCTGAAGCCAGGTTTGAGTTAAGGTCTTCCTGCCTCCAGGCTCAATGCTGTATCCATTGTGCCACCAGCTGCCTCTAATGACACAAGAGGAAATAACTATTAATCACTTAGAATGAATAGTTTGGATGGCCCTGACCTACCTGCCAGGGCATGATGGGTATTGAAAGAAATGTACTCACTTCGATTTAAATTACAGGAGACTTCCCCTTGATGGGGTGATAAATATGTTGGAAGAAAAGGTCTGAGCCCCTGGGTAGGTCCTCTTGTGTGCCAGGCTAAAGGCCTGACAAAGACCTGAAAATATGCTTGATCAGCCCCCAAGTATGTTGGCTGGGAAGTCTCACAAAAGGGTGCTAACATTCCTTCCAAGGAAGCGCCAGAAGCAACTGATAATTCCATCAGATGTCAGCATCAGCCCTGTGAAGAATTACTTAGCAAGCAGTACCTTTAAGAGAAGCAGAGAGAAATCATAGCCCCAGAGGAAACATGATGTATACTAAGAGTATGTTCCCTCTCTCATAGGCATCATGGGAATATGTGGGAGAGGTATCCACATATGTGAGTATTGTGTAGGGGGAGGGGTTTCCCCAATACCTACTTTGTTATTCTTTTTTTTCTTTGTTATTTTTATTTTTAATTAAAAGCTTTGCTGTTTGATTTATGATCTCTTCATGGAGAATTATGACACCCCCAAATACCATGTTATATTATCACCAACGAATATATCACTTCACAGTTCTAATGTACTTTGTGGTTTACAAAATATACCTATAACTCAGTATTTTCTCCCTCCCCAAATGTTCTTGAGAAATTCCTCTAGGTCTTTATTTTGTTCCCATCGCTCCCAACTTTGTATTAACTTCTCTATGTATAGGATTCTGTACCATATCACTGCCCTCCCCTCCCACACCTCATGTGTGTATTACATAACAAAATGGCTCTGCTCAGAATTCAGGTTTATTCTAATCTTTATGTAATCTGTCATCTTTTATAATTATGATTATTAGATAACTCTATAGTTTACTATAATTATAATCATTCTCCTGCTCTTCCCCATATATAACATCATATCTCCCCTCTTCAGCCTTTGCACTAGCTCTGGCCTCTCTGCCTGGAATTCTCTTCCTTCTTACCTCCACCTCTTGGAGTCCATGGTTTCATTCAAGACTCAGCCGCAGGGGCAGCTAGGTGGTGCAGTGGATAGAGCACCGGCCTTGAAGTCAGGAGGACCTGAGTTCAAATCTGACCTCAGACCAAACACTTGACACTTACTAGCTGTGTGACCCTGGGCAAGTCACTTAACCCCAATTGTCTAAAAAAGTTAAAAAAAAAAAAAAGACTCAGCTCCAGGGCCTCCTTCATAGGACTTTCCCAGAGGGCCCCCCCACCCCCTGTCCCAGTTGTTGATGCCTTTCTTTCCAAGGTTACCTCATATCTGCTTTGCATATGCTTTGTATATATCTGTAATTTGTACATACATATATATATGCCTATGTTGTATATACATTTATATGCGCAGATGCTTTCTGACCCATTGGAATATAAATTTCTTGAAGGCAAGAACTGTTTTGATTCTGTTCTTGTATCTCCAGCACCTGGTACACTGCTTGGCACACAGAAGATACTGAACAAGTGCTTGCTTGCCTCCAGCCCATTTTTTTCAAGTTGATTTGTTATTATTCCCTCCATGCTCTCCATGGTCCAGAT